CCCCCTTCCATAAAAATCAAATGGTAGCTCCCTAAATTGAAGGAGATACACAATATTAGTATTTGCAAGTTACACTGCAGATCATGGTGCAAGTCGTTCTTTGTGGCTGTTTATGTCTGAGTATACAAAAACATTTTCCCATAACTTTTTGTAAAATCCTGTTGACGAAGGTCTTGGTATTAGAAGGCAAATCTGGCTAGCATTTAAATGTATTGGTCTATGAAAAGCCAGTACGGAAAGCTCGCGGGAAGATCTTAAATTGTTGAGGGTGTTTATCGATTTCTATCCAGTTTTCGCGAATGATGTGTGAAAAAAATATCAAAATTTGTATGGTAGGGCAGAACATTAAGATTCTTTCTCATTCCTTTATATGAAGTAAAAATTCAAATTGGCTGATGTTGTTTGCGCCAAAGAAGCCTGTATAATAATGTTTATTTCTGAAACCTTAGATTGAGGCAATGCTTTTAGTACAGTGTCATGAATGACAACTCTTGGGAGAAAGATATTTATGTTTGATATTGGCTTTGCGGTACAAACCGGTTGACATGATTCCATTCCTTATTTGTGCAGTAGTGTAAAGGAATGTGACCAAGGAAGCACAAAAGTATCAGCTTTTAAGTGTTGTTAGCATATTAAGTTCTGTTCTGATTTATCCATGATCATGTCAAAGACGACAATGAAACGGAGTAAAGATAGAGATGGTGGTAAAGAGAGTATGATAATATCCCTTTCTTTTTGGCCCAAATAGATGACAGAGCAATCCCTGTACATAATACTTTATCGTCAACCTACTTAGAGACATGTTTATTATTGAATGTGAAATAATTGCATTCAATATCAAGGTACATGTTAGCAGCTTTACTTAAAATTCAGTTGTCAGGTTCAAAGGGCTGCTGCAAACCCCAGATCTATATATATATGTATATATACATAAACAAGTCTAAATTGTAAACAAGGTTCAAACATATGATTGCGTTGGATAAAAACCGCAATTTTTATACGTGTGCATGCAAAACAAATTTCTTGTTAGAGGGGTCTAAATACAGCACAAACAACATTTTCCAAAAGACCAAAAAAGTGAAAAAGTATATTTAAACAAAACGCATTTGACTAACAGGACGAACAACAAATGTCCTTAAACCCTGCTGACTGCCATTGGCGATTGCCAAATAAACGGATCGCCGATGTAATAAATGGATCTTAATTATAAATTTAATACTAAACAGAAAACAATAAACTTGCAGAAAAGATGATATACCGCAAACAAAAGGTGAAAAGGTTTTTGTACACCATATCCGGATTTCGACAATTAATGTCTCTTCAGTGATGTTAGGAATCGAAACGGTATTTGGAAAGCCATACAATTTAACTCAATTTAGGATAGACTCTTGAATTTTGAGGAGTCAAAATAGGATGAACGGATCATATAAACCCGAAGGCAAATATAATACAAGCCCAAACGAAAAAATATAAACAAGTCTAAATTGTAAACAACGTTCAAACCTATGATTGCGTTGGATAAAAACCGCAATTTTTATACGTGTGCATGCAAAACAAATTTCTTGTTAGAGGGGTCTAAATACAGCACAAACAACATTTTCCAAAAGACCATAAAAGTGAAAAAGTATATTTTAACAAAACGCATTTGACTAACAGGTCGAACAACCAATGTTTTTAAACCCTGCTGACTGCCATATATATATATATATATATATATATATATATATATATATACCGTTTTTCCCGCTGTGCTGAAGACCCATTGGTGGCGTTCGGCTGTTTCCTGCTTTTTGGTCGGGTTGTTTTCTATTTGACACATTCCCTATTTCCATTCTCAATTCTATTTGTGGTTTGTAACAATTGACCTTAGTTCCGCCGGCTATGCAGTCCTGTCGCTCAGTTAACATGTATCATTAAAACGCAAACATTTCCATCTAAAAAAATAATATAAGTTTTAATATCAAATTTTGTTCAAATGAAATATAAAACGTAGTGATAACTTTTCCTTTCAGTTTTATATTCAGATAATTAACGAAAAATTCTTAAAGTCGCTACATATTTGTCAGTTGACAATCGTTGGAAAGCAAATGCTGACACCTTTACTCTCAACGAACCAGGAAACAGGAACTAATTTTCAAAAGGTTACTCTTCAACGCACCATCTTTTTTCAATTAATATGCAAATTCTCGAAAATAACACATGCTAAATCTTTAATCATTTCAGTGCAAACACTATTTTGGGTAATGGTTTGAATATGCTTTTATGTTTTTCCATTAGAAAAAAAATCATAAGGATAGGACGATATGCGTTTGTTTACATTTTGTCGTTGCATGAACGACGAGTAATATGCCTTCATTGATTTCCCATTTGCGTCTAAATTTTAACATATTATATTGTGATAGTGACATACACAAACCTTTAAAAGTTCGTCACATACATGTATTATACTTAATAATGATTGTTTTTTGTCTTCAAATTCTGTTTCTGCAACTGAAACTGATCTTCCAACGTTTCTTCGTTAACTCCAGATCAACGGACCCATATACTACTCAGATCAACGGACTTTTCTCCCGTGTGACTCTATACAAATGTAGATCAACGGACTGAGTCTTGATAACCCGAATAATGACATTGAACTCGTTCTATCATTTGTTTATCAAATGCGTCAAGTAAAAAAAATACAATAGGATAGATGATCGATTGATTGCTTTATCGATTGATGGTTGCTTAACGTCCAGTGACAAATATTTCCTGCATGTTCAGGAAGAGAACAAATTAACAACATATACAATAGGTAGGTTATGTAATAATGACCGTCCGGGATGAAGGTCGGGTAAATTTGGACTGCCACTGGAAAATGAGGGTATACTGGATAGGTGGGCAGAAATGTAACATTGCAACAGGCCACCTACGAACCCCTTAAAGAGTTCTTGCAAGGGTTCTTAACGTGCAGTGGCACTCTCTCTACAAGAGGCATTGGTTCACTTTCTGATCGTACGTGGCTGCGTACTTGTACATCCCGCACACAAGAACGGACGCCCCACTTTGGCAAGGGTTTTACTTCCGGTCGGAAGAAGACCACGAATGATCATATTTTCATTCCCCAGATGAATCTGAACATTTTGTTACAACCAGAATCATAATGGTGTCACAACAGTGAAGTAATCTTGATAAATAATGTAAATAAAAGCACATGGCAATTACTCTAAATATAAGTGCATACGTGATGACCTAATCCTCCCATCATATGATTATTCTAACTGACACGGTCCATAATAAATGGCTTAAAACTTAAAGAACAAAGAAATTAACCCCCCCCCCCTTTTTTTCATTCATTCGTTCACGTATACACTATCTATATGCTGTACACTGTAAATATAGTATTTTATATAAAAATATTTATGGAAAATATATTGCATACAAAATTACGACACAGATGTAGTCCTTTAAAAGCTGATTTATATAGAGTTAATTTAGTAAATGACCCAAGTTGTGAATGTGGGTGTCCATTAGAAGATTCGATTTATTTTTTCTTAGAATTTCCGCTCTACATAAATTTTAGAAATCAGCTCTTTGAAAACATACAACACTTAGTTGCTATTTCCATAGAACATATTTTATTTGGAACAGACGAAATTAGTGTTGAACAAAACGCAATCCTTTTCAGAAATATACATAACGTGACGGTACCCAAATTGCACCTATTTTGACAGTTTTTTCACCTAAGTTTTTTTATGATAAAGACAAAAATTTCCATTTTCTGTTTATTTTGTAGCCGTATCCTTCTTTATTATATAGGTACACCAATTTGATTTTAATCCCTATTCAGTGAGTCATAGAAAATGGGTTTGAATCGACCTCCAAACTATCCATGATTGCGTAATGAGGAGTACCCAAATTGCATCCATGCTTGAATTCACATCATTAAAAATCAAATAACAAGATGTTTTGTTTTATTTTTTCAAATATTTAGAACAATTTGACATTAGTACATGCTCACTATTCATTTTTTTTAAAAGGGATGCTTGTAACATATTTTTTTTGTTCATTTTTAAAAGATGACTTTTTGTGAACGTCGCATGGCGGCGTTTTCGTACATTTGTCTTTTCCAGTGGAAGCTTCATCTGTTGATATAAACTGTTAACGTTTAGTGTATATTTGAATATATTCACCTATTTTGTAAGACGTGTATAATGTCAAATAACTAAAATACAAATTGTTTAGTCTCAAAGAAATCTTTTAAGAATTGCTCAGCTGTGTATGTTGAATAGGTGCAATTTGGGTACCGTGACGTTAGTTATATACGCCATACAAAACGATTCTTTGATTAATATTGCTATATCTTAAAGTGTATTCGTATCCAACTGTTACTGTTTAAACCGTGATAACTTATTTATTGTATATATTTTTCATATTGTACTGAATTATATAATTGCTGTCATCTTGAAATTTTGTATATTGTACTTATTTGGAGAGGATTATTAAAGTTTAAGTTGTTATAAATTGTATCCAATCATATTGTATATTTAGACAATAAAATATGTTTAAACTATAGTATTTTAATCATATCCTCGATAATAAAAAAAAAAACTCTTATCTTGAACAAATGTTCATTTTCTTCTGTCAGTTTAATAAAACAATAATTAAAATACACGTATATTAGAAAACACACTTTAATCTGTGACATAATATATTGACTAATAGTCCCTGTAAGTATAACAGTCCCAGCTTTAATGCATGTTTCTATATTTATTTATTTGAAATGATTAATATTTTGATTTCTTGACGCTATATTTGTTTTCTTGTCGCGAAATTATTCTTCTTGTCGCTTCTTGTTGCTTCTTGACGCTAACTAGTGAGACCCCTTTGAAAGGGACGAATCCACCCTAACATTTCTAGCACAAGACTCCTTCGGACCGGATATTTATCTGTGTGGTTAAAGCGTTTTTTACCAGATGATTTTATCGTCAAGTGTAGAAGATAATTGTTAACCCCGAATGAAAAATTTGCGTGCACAAACTCGATAGTCAAACATAATCAATTTCATCGCAAAATCAAGATGGGGTGGTGTTCAGAAGATTTGTTTCCTACAAGATTCAGTTTGATCATATTTATTTCATACATGGCACTGTTTATAAATCAAGGTAAGTGTTGACATGATGACAACCACAGGTCAGTTTCAAGAACATAAACATAACTCTGCGTCGTCTTCTCTTTCGTTAGGGTCTCTATGCTGTAGCATTGATAATAAGAGGCAGGTTTTACCTGTGAAAAAAAACGAAGTCCGTATAAAAATACCTGATTTTTGCAAAATTAAAACAACAGTAAACATGGTAAAATGATTTTGAATCTAATTACTAAATCTAAGTCCACAATTTATTTACATTTTACGAATTGTGACATTTAAAATAAAAAATCACTATCATTTAAAACAACCAGTAACCACTGGGATACTCTACACAATTTATATGACTTGGGGCTGAACAATAATTAAGCCTTTTACAAATTGAAAAATAAAAAAAATCCGAGCATAAATTATTTCTGATGTAAAAGTAACTGAATTACAGAAACGTATCCAATGTGGTCATATTGTTAGGAATTTTATACATGACATCATTTTCAATGTAAATAGAGTCTTGTCTCACAACGTAGTTTAAATAAAAACATATTAATAATTTATACCTTAGGCCAAAAAAAAAAGTTTCTCTCTGTTTGCAGTTACCTGACCGACCCTAATTTCAGCGCAGACCCTAAATCATTATATTTCTGTTGTAAAGTGAAAAATTAACTGAACTTGTGTCAAAAGCGAAGTTAGAGTTGCCAATAAATCTAATCAATTGCCTAATACATCCCAATTTTCACAATCATGAATATGACAGCTGTTTTCAGGAAACTTAAGCTTGCTACTCATGTGATGAAATAAACACTTTGCTGCCATTTTGTTCTAACTATTAACCCAGGGAAATTATCCAATCATTAAAAATACGGGTAAACTCGGCCCACGGAAAACACTGACCACAGCAATACTCATGACTCAAAGTCATGTCACAAAAAATAGAATTAAAAAAATTAATAAAATGGAAATACATGTACCGACCTACCTACCCTATTTTTTTTTTTCTGATGTAACATTAAACAGACATATATTTGTTTTTTGGCCTTAAACATGTTAAAACAACGAATATAAAAATCCAGCTTATATATAAACATGATAAACACATCTTTGTACAGGTACAAACTCTGACTGATCTGAGGTGAGTTTCCTTAGAGAATTCATTTTGTTTGCTATGTAATCATAATTTGAATAAGCAGTAGACTAATTTTTATTATGTACACAAACAGGATAAATTCAAAATGTTCGTCCTCGTTTATCATGTTTATATTCTTTTTGGTAATCATTTATACAAACTTATGATTTTCGACATGGCAGGGTCTGTCAACAGAACCAGAATAGAAAAAAGTTAACAATTTTGAGTTCATCAGTATATTGATTCTTGTATTTTTAATTTTCAACTGTTAATGAGGACTTCAACTTCATAGTAATGGAGCAAAAGTGCATTTGTTATTTAATTAATCATTAACTAGAACACACCCGTGAAATTGCTGGCATTTAGAGCGTGGTTGAAAGTATGTAAACTGTTGTAGGATGAATTTTTGTAAAATATTTTATGACTGGAGAATTTCAGAAAAGGTATCAGAAGTCAAATAGGTACTTGGGGACAGGACAATTTTTTAAGCCCCCCCCCTTTTTTTCCAAAATCCGTTTTTTTTTATTTTCTGTTAATTTATATAAATAAACACTATAAATAAAGTGTGAATTTGCTATTAACTATCAATTCCAAGTTTACTACCAACGGCGTTCACTATCTATGGCGTTCACTATATTATATAGAGAGACCTATGAAAATTATTTGTAATTTTAAACAGTCCTAAACGGAAGTCTTGTCTAACTTAAAAGTCCGTCCGATGAAGGAAACAATATCAGGACGCCTTTATTTTTCGTTTTCCTCCCAAAATAACCCAAACGGAATAATCGTAAGCGAGGATGACAAATGCGAGTATGCATGGTACCTATAGGACACAGATGCATGATGATTAATTTATTGTGGAAAGAAGAGAAGCGACACACAGAATGAGGTCTTCTCGTTTAATAGTATAGATACTGTACATACATGTATCATACAACAAACAGTTTGAAAGAATAATTGTCTTGAAGTGAGTTCTTCCCAATCATTTTTTACTGATAGAAAATGGGTCATGAAAGGGCTCTTTATTCATGTTTTGGCAAAAATGGTAGAAAGGCATTTTGGATTTATAAACATAAGGATTAAAGGGCAGAAGGCCTAGGGCAAGGCTAAAAGCATCAAGAGTGCATAGCCCTTCAAAACTTAGCTCACAATATCACGGTGACCCAAATTGTATAATGAGGATCTAAACTTGTAGTTTTGAGTAAATTATCACATATTATCTACCCTTTTCATTTATTAAAAAAATATGTTTATCTGTTCTTTCACAATTGAAATACAGTACAACCATGACAACCTGTGACATACTCTGTTCACCATATGCTATGTTGTAGCTTGTCCTTGCCCTATGTGCCATCAGGCATAGCAAGGACTAAGTAAGTACATTTTTTTGTAAGTAATATGCTATGTTCAACAACAGATGGTGACCATTTATTGGGGGTCATAAAACATAGGATGTTGGTTATTTACTGGGGTCATAAACCATGTGCTGGTGGTCAATCTGGTACATATAAAAACTCAGGTTATGAGACTAATTTTTACTAAAATTGACTTATTATTATTAAGCTATATCATTTATATGTCCACCAGTTGTTTTATTTTATTTTATTTTTTATTTCTTTTGTCATTATCATGGGTGCATTACATTTGCGAGCATTATATTTGCATGCATTTTGGGATTAAAATTTTTTATGTTTGCCCACAGCTTTTGATTACATGTACATTTGCGGCGCATTCCTTTTATAGGCAACACTTGCAAAAATAAAGATACATGTAACTCATAATAAATATGACTATAGTTATTAATTTTGAACATATTTGAATTGAATGATATATTTTTCATATTGAATTCCAAAAAATGTATAAAGTGATCATGAGAAATCCTGTAATAGCTTAAGGCATATACATGTAACTTAATTGCGAATATTTTAGAGAATAGTTTTCTGTTTCCGAATACCCCTGTAGTGATCACAGTCACTTCAGTAAATAGTCTTAGTCAGATTGTAAAGTTGTGCCAAGGAACAAACATGGAGTTTCGTTTGTCAGAAACAAATCAGGGGGAAAATCATTAGGTGAGATGAATTTACTTTAGATCAGTAAACTTAAATTTGCATCTCTAGCAGATACCTCCCTAGCTCCCTAGCTCTGTTCTCATCAAGTTTGATGAAGAATGTTCCCAGGATATACCCAGGATATAATTCAAAAAAGACAGATGTAATTTATGCTACACACTGGACATGGGTGAAATAGGCACATTACATTTGCATGCATTTGGAGATAATTAGTCCCCTACAGACGAAGTCGAAGGGTACTTTAGGTTTGCACTCCGTCTGTCTGTCTGTCTGTCTGTCCATCTGTCAGTCCGGCAAATCAGTTTTCCAGACTTTTTTTCTTCGTGCTTGAAGATATTGATTTGATATTTGGTTTATTGATTCATCATGACAAGTTACAGGTCAAGTTCAATTTTCACGATTTTAGCTTTTCTCTTTGTTCAGTTAAAGCCCTTTCCCAAGAATTAAATTTTTGATGAAATACTTATTAATTAGTAGATTTCTGTTCAAAGGGAAATAAGTCATTTTTTAAAAGACAAAATGACATTTTGGATTTTTTTCATTTTCTTTCGTAAATTGTTTGAAGAATTTAGTGGTAGGTTTGTTTGTCATTCTTGAAGATACTGATTTGATAATTTGTATATAGTTTTATCATGACAAGTTACAGATCAAGTTGGAATTTTGTTCCAGTCTGATAATTTTGTGCAGAATTATGGTCTTTGGACATAGAAAATTCACTTAAACAATCAGTTTTCAACAGTTTTTTTCGTCATGCTTGAAGATTTTGACTTGATATTTTTATGTAGTTTACACCATGACAAGTTATAGATCAAGTTAGAATTTCGTTCCATTCCAATGAATTTGTAACCGGTAGGGGACTATGTATTGCCATGCAATACGCACAGAATGCTTGTTTTTTTACATTTTTGGGCGCATTCATTTTACAGGTAATACAGGTACATGTTCGCTCCCATTCACGTTTGCCCCCTTTCCCGTTCGCACCCCACACATTCACACCCTGGGTCTGTTCGCACCCTTTTTTATTAGTCCCCTACCGACGAAGTCGAAGGGTACTTTAGGTTTGCACTCCGTCCGTCTGTCTGTCTGTCTGTCCATCTGTCAGTCCGGCAAATCAGTTTTCCAGACTTTTTTTCTTCGTGCTTGAAGATATTTATTTGATATTTGGTTTATTGATTTATCATGACAAGTTACAGGTCAAGTTCAATTTTCACAATTTTAACTTTTCTCTTTGTTCAGTTAAAGCCCTTTCCCTAGAATTAAATTTTTGATGAAATACTTATTAATTAGTAGATATCTGTTCAAACAGTCAAGGGTGTAACTTGAATAAGTTATTACAGAAAAATAACATACATGTGTTATTACGGATACTTTCTCTTAATCTGTAGTAACATATGTTTGTTATCAGTTAAATGTACCATAAAAATTTTTTATTTTCAGTGGGCACTTGGGAATTCTTTAAACTTGTGCTTTAACTTAATACATAACCTTGAAAACTAATTTTCCAATTCAATTAATACATTTTTGATCAACCATGGTAAATCAATAAGACAAGGCTTTTAAGTGATAACTTAGCTGTAATAACAAGGCTTAGTTATTACAGGCATTTAACTTATTACATGAGACACTTGGGAATTACTAGGAAGCTTGCGCAGAACCTCATTACATGCTCTTATCATTATTTATTACAATAAATTAAAATACATTTGTGATATATGTAGAGAAGCTGTAATAACACCCTTTAGTTATTACAGGCATATTTTTTCTGTAATAACATGGGTGTGTTATGCATGATTGACAAACTATGGGCTGTTATATCTTTCTAAAGTT